AATACTTCCGGTTTTATTATGAAAACTTCCAGACCGGAAATACTGTTTTCACCCCGTGAGGGTTGACACTAACTTTACATGGAAGCTGCCGTATATACACGTTCTCCTGGCGAGACCTCAAATCATCTTCGCAAGGCCGGATTAACCATATGGGCAACCTGGGCAAGTGCCCAGGGGCCCTTGAGCAAAGAGGACCCTCAGTGACAAGATTTTTTTTTTTTCGGTCACAACCTCACTCATCATACATTGTTTTAAATGACACTCACTCTTCACCATAAATAACACAGCTTTTCTATAGGGTCAAATTAATATATTTTCTAAACCGTCTCACTATGTATGCGCTCAACTTTATTACTATGCGCCGGCGGTGTATAGCCGAATCACATCCCCACCCTCACTCAGTGCCCAGGGGCCCCTGGAGGTACTAATCCGGCCTTGCATCTTCGTAATATCAAACTATAGATACACATCCACTGGACGTAGATTACAAAAGTACAATATACACTTCTCGCTAGAAATCTAATCAAAAAGCATTTTAATGGCCAAACTATTCCACAATTTAGTATTTTCCAAAGAGGGTTATTTGTGAATAAACGACCCTCCGGAGCGTTTGCAATCAACGGGAGCATGTTGTTTCTTACACGACCACTAGAGGTTCTACACTTTAAAACGTGACTCGGGGTCGTATTATTAATTATTATTAAGCTGCTGAACAATCGACCGGTCGTTTTTTGTAGGAGGACAGGCTGAAATCTATTTAAGGCAGCCAGAATATAAATGAATCAGGCACCCACAAGAAAGCCTCTGGCATGATAATGCCCTCTAAAAGATATTGCTGGGTATAATAGTAATATTTTCACTTTGAATAAGCTCAACACTCATTCATTATGCATTTTTAGTACACAATTTGACATTCACTTTGATTTGTATAAAGGCTAGTCCAATTAAAACGTTTTACTGGTTGGACATTAAAACACTTCCCTTTCTCTCACCACTTTTTCTCACAGACCAGAATGTTGTGGGAAACACACATTTTTAGAGCCAAACACATCACAACAATAATTATCAGGGTGAAATCCAGGCTTAATTGTATTATAATAAATCAAGTTGTCAAAAACAAAAACTTGTTGATGGTAAAGTTATGCATTGTGGGGGGAAATGTGGTTTGAATGTCTGAATGGGCATTGCAATTACTCTCCAATTCCAAATTAAAACCAATAACACACAGCTGTTTTTTAGTATGGCTGTTTATTTAAAAAAAATGAAAGAATAGTTTGACATTCTGGGAACTATAAAGCTTAGTAACAGCACTGGAAAAAGGATGAAACCGCTAGCCTGGCTCTGTAAGGTAAAATAATCCAGCACCATATAGCTCACCAATAGAGAGCCACAGCCTTTCATCTGATCCACTGTCCTGTAACTCAACCCACTGTGCCATTTAGCATTTATTAAGTCATTAATCAAGTTTCTTTCCAAAGGAGGCTCACAGTTCAACCAAATAACTAGAAAAGCTGCAAAAGAAAATGTAAACTAATATACATTGGTGCTATGACTTGCTGGAGTCTTATTGTCAATGTGAGGTTTAAAGTTAACCGGAAGGGACCTCGGTGTCACTGCGACTTGACAACAATAACTCCTGCACATATCCTCGTGTATAACCACAATGTGTCGTTCGTGCATTTTGTACAATTTTGCCGAAGGTCAGTTTCATTAAGAAATTTGCTGAGCTATGAGGTCACTGCGTCAAAACATGCTGCTTTGAGTCATCGGGTAATAGCACTCTGATGTGAGATTAATTGCAAATTGCAAAAGCACCCACACAAGTCCGTATTGTCAGCGGATAGTTTATAGGCTTTGTTATGGCGGTATGCTTCATTCTGCTGCAGAGTCCACCCACCATCATGAGCTAGCTGCACATGGACCAGAATCCCAAAGAGCAAGACAATCAGTGAACTGAAACAAGCTTTAGTTTGAAAAAGTGTATGCATGATAAGAAATACAAATCACAATTGGTTCTTTTGTCACTACAGAAATCAGTGTGAAAAGAGATAATAAATAACCCTGTAAAACATTATAAAAACATTAGTCACAGTCATGATAAACAACAAGACTTCCACAGTTGAATTCTTTACCTCAACCCACTCTCTCAGTGTTTTCACTGCGAATTAACTTTTCCTCACTCACCTCTCAACCCCTCTGCCTTCATTTTACAGCTCCCTTTTTACCTCTATTTCTTTCCTCTGGCTCCAGAATCGACTCAGACAGACACAGAGCCGAAGCTCATTGTAATGCTGGACACTGGAATTGAACAGTCTCTCCATACCTGAAATGTTAGGGTGACCTCCACAGATCTGTGGTATATATGGGGATGTCATTTGTTATTCTGTCCTTAACTTTGGGGCCAGTTTCCACACAGTCACCACTTTGCAGTTTTCCTTCAGGCCTAGACAAATTCCCACCAGTGTTGTTGCTGAAATAAAGTGTAATGAGGTTTTAATTGTGGTTTTGCAGCCTCGCATATGTAAACATTAAAGTTAAGAAATACACAGACAAAGCTATTCTCTTGGGAGAAAAAACATTTATGTCGCTCACTAAAGAGAGCATTGCATGTCATCACTTATGAGTGTCTGTGTTTGAAAGGCCTGTTATTTATAAACTTCAAAGGACACTCCTAAATGTCACTATACCAGGACTTTGCTCAGGACCAGAGATCACAAGCTAAGTGGATTGTTGGCTTGTTGACATTTATGCCACCACATCTTCGAGAAACAAATGTCAGAATTAACATTAATGGAGCTGAACCTTTGTACCGTTCATTATTGGCTTTTTTTTCTGAGAGTTAGAGAAAGATATTGAAATATGGAACGCTACCAAGCAGCTGGCTAGAATAAAGACACACTAAACAGCTAACCTGGCTTTGTACAAAGGTAACAAAAAGCTCACTAAATAATGTATTATCATATAACTTTATAAAATGTAGAAAATTTGAGGCATAAAAAAGACTGGCTAGCTCTTACCCCGAATCCTCTGTCTTTAAGCTAAGCTAAACTAAGCTACACTGAGCTAAATTAAGCTAAGATAAGCTAAACGTCTCATGTGTGACATGAGTGTTATTGATTTGCTCGTCTAAATCTCAGAAAGAACGCAAATACTCATGTTCCTTAAAATATTAATCTCTGCCCATGTAAAGAAATTGATTTATCCTTTTTATGAATTAGGTGTGTCAAGCGATTGTTATTGTTGTTAGTTTCCTTTCATTTTCCTCAGCCTCCACTGGCTTTGATTCTGCTGTGAATATAATTTTGCTATCAGTGTGTTATGATTGTTATGTTCTGTTGAACCATTAGAGAGCTCTCTCTGTTTTATTATGATCTGTATACAGCCATGGGGGCCTGATGTTTGTGGAATATTTTGATATTTTATGCATTTCGCTGATTGCCATTATAATGGCAGTGATACCAAATGTCTTCAAATTGTCTGTGCCCTTCTCTCCCCAGGTTGGTCATTGTGTCTGTAATACAAGTCTTTTGCAGCGACAAATGTCAGCTCTGCAGGGCTTCAGACAT